TTTCTTTTTTTTTTATTTTATTTATTTATTTTTTTTGTCTTTTGTCCTTTTCCGTGTCCGGCAATGGATCGCAACCCTCAGTGTTGCCCCCGTACCAGACCGGGGACCGGCAACGGGACCGCAACCCTCGGCGTTGCCCCCGCGCCTCGCTCAGCCAGTGAGCGGAACCGGTCTGTATGTGGGATCCGAACCCTCGGGCAGGAGCGCCACCGCACTTCCCAAGCGGCGCACTTATCCAGTGCGCCACTGGGCCGGCCCTAGGAAAATCAATTTCTGAAATACACCACATATATACGGTGAAGGAACAAAAACACATTATCTTCTCAGTTGATGCAGAAAAAGCATTTGAGAAACTCCAACACTCATTCATGGTAACACACTCAGAACTATGAATAGAAAGCAACTTTCTCAATCCTAAAAATGGCATTTATTAAAAATTCAGCTAACATCATAATCATTGCTGAAGGACTGCAAACGTTATGCTAATATCAGGAAGAAGACAAAAATAATCCCTTTTGCCACTACTTTTCAACATTATACTGGAAGTTCTAGCCAGAAAAGTTAGACAAGAAAGAGAAATGAGAGGTGTCCAAATAGGAAAAGAAGTAAAGCTATCTCTAGTGTTTACAGAACATATGTTCATATATAGAAATACATAAAGAATCTCATAAAAACTATTAGAACTAATAAACAAATGCAATAAGTTGCAGAATATAATATTGACGCTCAAAAATCAGTTGTATTTCTGGACACAAGCAATCAACAAATTAAAAGGGAAATTATGTAAACAATTCCCTTTACAATAGCACTGAAAAGAATAAAATAGGAATAAATTTATGCAAGGAAATGGAAGACTTATACACTGAAAACTACAGTGCATTGCTGAAAGGAATTAAAGAAAGTCTAATTAAATGTCAAGACATCCTATGTTTGTGGATTAGAAGACTTCATATTCCTAAGATGGCAGTACACCCCAAAGCAATATAAAGATTAAATAAAATCCCTATCAAAATCCTAACAGCCTATTTTAAAAAGTGTTTTTGCACAAATGGCAAAGTTGATCCTAAAATTATATTGAACTGGTGAGGACCCCAAGTAACCAAAATAATCTAAAAAATGAAGAACAAAATTGGAGGACTTACAATTCTTGATGTCAAAACTTACTACAAACCTAGAGTAATCAAAACTGTGGCTATAGCACAAGAATAGAAATATAGAACTGAGAATCCACAAATAGACCCATATATATATGGTCAATTCATTTTCTGCAAGTGTGCCAAAAATAGTTGCAGTGGATTGAATGTTCCCCCCAAACTCATTGAAGCTTAATCCCTGCTGTAACTGTTGAGGGTGGGAAACCCTATTATGATAATTGAAAGGTGGGCATTTAAGAGGTGATTAAGTTAATGGTTTAATGGTGATTGTGGGTATGGTTCTGAGGACTTTAAAATGAGAGGGCATGAGGACCTATCTCTCTCTCTCTGCTTAGCCATTTTCTGCCATGTGAGACCTCTGCATTGCCATAAAGCCACCGCCAATAAGACCCTCACCAGACATGTTCCCTGGACTTTGGACTTCCCAACCTCTGAAACTGGAAGCAATAAATTTTGTTTCTTTATAAGTCACCCAGTTCCAGATATTTTGTTATTGGCTAGAGAAACAAACTAATACAACAGTCAGTGGGAAATGAAGAGTCTCTTAAACAAATGGTGCTTAGACAACTGGATATCCACATTTAAGAGAATGAAATTAGACCTCTACCTCCCACCATATAAATAAATTAATTCAAAATGGATCAGAAGCCTAAATTTAACAGCTAAAACTATAATAGTCTTTGGTGAAAACATAGGGGTAAATCTTCAACCCGGAATTTAGCAATGGATTTTTAGATACAACCCCCAAATCAAAAGAGACAAAGACATAATAGATAGATTGTTCTTCATCAAAATGAAAAACTTTGGTGCACAGAAGAAAACTATCACATAAGTGAAAACATAATCTACCAAATGGGAGAAAATATTCGCAAATCATATATCTTGTAAGGGTCCACTATTCAGAATATATGAACTTCTACAACCCAACCAAAATACAAATAACCCAATTAAAAAGTGGTCAAAGGACTAATAGACATTTCTTCATGAAAGATATACTAATGGCCAAAAAGTAAATGAAAAGATGTTCAAAAATTTTGTCATTAGAGAAAAGCAAAACCAAACCATAAGGAGGTAACACTTCACACCCACTAGGATGGCTATGATAAAATTAAAAAATAACAAGTATTGGTATAGATATGGAGAAATCAGAATCTTGATATAAATTTCTGGCGAAATGGTATAGCTACCATGAAAAACAGTTTGGCAGATCCTCAAAAAGTTTATCTATATGACCCATTAATTCCCCTCCTGTGTATATACTCCAAATAATTGAAAACAGTTATTCCAACAGTTATTCATGCTTATGCACAAATGTTTCTAGTAGCACTATTTAAAATAACTAAAAGGTGGAAATAACTCAAATGTCCATCAATGGATGAATAAAGAAATAATATATGACTCATGCAATGGAATATTATTCAGCCACAAAAAGGAATGTAGTACTTATACTTGTTACATCTTGGATAAACCTTGAAAACATTATTCTAAGTGAAAGAAGCCAGACACGAAAGGTCAAATATTTCATATGATTTCATTTGTATGAAATATCTCAAATAGGTAAACCCATGGAGATAGAATGCAGATTAGTAGTTTCCAGGAACTGGGAAGAAGGAGGAATAGGGAGTGACCGTTTAATGGGTACAGAGTTTCCTTTGGGGATGATAAAAATGTTTTTGAACTGCATAGAGATGGTATTTGTCCAATTTTGTGAAGGTACACTTGAGAATGGCTAATTTTATGTTATGGGAATTTCACCTCACTTTGTAAAAAACAAAAGTAGGAATATATAAATTGCTCAAAATTATCTTACATGGATCAATCTGAACACTTACTTCTGCCACGTCAGTCCTTACACTTCTCTCCTTCTCTCATTTTGTGAAAATAAGAACTCTCCTCATGTCGACTGGGTGAAATGTGTTTTCATTTCAGGGACTGTTAGCATTCAGGGATGTGTCCATTGAATTCTCTCAGGAAGAGTGGGAATGCCTGGACCCTGCTCAGTGGGACTTTTACAGAGATGAGATGTTGAAGAACTGCAGCGAACTGCTGTCCCTGGGTGGGGATAACTTCCCTCCAGAAATCGGTAACTGCCTTTGCATATCTTTGCATTTTGCCTTGTGAGTCTCTTGGGAGCTCTGCCAGCGGTTTTCAGTTTGGGGTCTGATAGTTTGATAGCGCTGGTATAAAAATTCTACAATGTGTTTTGGTGATACATGTATGAATTTCTGTTCCATATATATGTAGTAGTGGACTTATTGGGTCATTGGTTTATATATATCTACTTGGCTTTAGAAGATACTACCAAACAGTTTTTCAACATTTCTATGAATTTCCCTCCCAGAAGCAGCTCTTAATTTTAACACAAAATCAGTTGTCATGTTCACCTTAATAGTTAATACTTTTTTTTTTTTTTTTTTTTCTTTTTCCGTTTCTGGCAACGGATCGCAACCCTCAGTGTCGCCCCCGTACCGGACCGGGACCGGCAACAGGATCGCAACCCTCGGTGTTGCTCCCGCGCCTCGCTCAGCCAGTGAGCGGGAACCGGTCTGTATGTGAGATCCGAACCCTCGGCGGGAGCGCCACCACACTTCCCAAGCGGCGCACTTATCCAGTGCGCCACCGGGCCGGCCCTAGTTAATACTTTTTGCTCTGTTAAAAAGTCTTTTCCTTCCCAACTCATAGTCCAGAAGAAAAAAAAAAAGTCTTTTTCCATTATAAGATCTCAGAGATGTCTTCCTTTGCTTTCTTCTAAAAACGTCATTTTCTTACCTTTAAAATGTACACAAGCAATTCATTCAAAATCAATTTGTTATAATTATGTGCAGTGATTTACTCCTTTTTATCATGCTAATAAATTTCAATTTATTCTGAAAATGTTACATTTGGCTGTCTTTTTCCTTGCTGCTACCTGTCATTGCCTCACCCAGGTTAACCTCACCTCACCCTTGGAGCTGACTTTTCTGTCAAGTCTCTTGTTTATTCTATTTCTTCTTGCCTTTTTCAATCTTTACATCTCCACACAGTCCAGATTAGTACAGGTGTCAAAAATCTTCAGTAGGAGGGGATTCTGGGAAGCTGGCAGAGTAGGAAGCACCAGGAATCCTTCTCCCCACCTATGCAACAATTGCACTGATAGAATCTATTGGTGTAACTATTTTGGGTCACTGATGTACACGGAAGGTTTGCAAGTTCAAAGGCAAACTTGGTTGGGTCATTTCAATTAATTTCAGTCAATTTTAACTCTTAACACTGTAGCAGCTACCTATCCTTCACTCCCAAGACCTGTAGGAAGCAGCCTTGCCCGTGTTCCTGGAGCATCTTGCAAGCATCTCACAGAAGCCAGGGTTCGCGATAAGAACTCCCTTCTCCAAATATCAGAGATCTGTGTCTGATTGCTGAGTGCTGTTCCTAATCTTGGGGAGCAGACACAGAGACAGACTCTCCCTGCATTGTTGCACCTCTCCCCCAACTGTTGAAAACCACTCTCCCTTCCTATCTGGGACTTAAAGGGCAGCACCTTTTTATGTTTTCTCCTCCCTCCATTTAATTTTTTTCTTTTTCCCCTTTTGGGAGCTAAAAATTTTAAATCTAGAACATTCAAAAATAATCATATATATGAGAAAATTTAGAAAATCACCATGCATACCCAGGGAAAGGTGCAGGCTCAGAAAATCAGCAAACTGGGCCGGCCCGGTGGCGCACTGGAGAGTGCGCCGCTTGGGAGCGCGGTGGCGCTCCTGCCGAGGGTTCGGATTCCATGTGGAGACCGGTTCCCGCTCACTGGCTGAGCGTGGTGCGGGCCCAGCACCGAGGGTTGCAATCTGGATGCCGGTCCCCGGTGCGGGCGCGACGCAATCCTGTTACCGGTCAGTAAAAAAGACAAAAAAAAAAAAAGGAGAAAATCAGCAAACTGGAGAAAGCGGAGAATCAGATTCACAGAGTTACCACATTATTGTATTCAAATGTCCCATTTTGAGCAACAACAACAAAAAATCACAAGGTACATAAAGAAACAAGAAAGTATGGCAAATTCAAAGGAAAAAAAGAAACCAATACAAAACGTCCTTGAGAAAGACCAAATGCTGGATCTAATAGACAAAGGCTTTCAAATAACTTTTTTTTTTTCTTTTTTTTAAAAGATGACCGGTAAGGGGATCTTAACCCTTGACTTGGTGCTGTCAGCACCACGCTCAGCCAGTGAGCAAACCAGCCATCCCTATATAGGATCCGAACCCGGGGCCTTGGTGTTATCAACACCACACTCTCCCAAGTGAGCCACGGGCCAGCCCTCAAATAACTCTTTTGATGTGATCCCATTTTCTATTTCTGCTTTTGTTACCTGTGCTTTGGGTGTTGTATCCAAGAAACCATTGCTAAGGCCAATGTCAAGAAGTTTTCCCCCTGTGTTTTCTTCTAGAAGTTTTACAATTCCAGGTCTTACATTTAAGTCTTTAATCCACCTTCAGTTGATTTTTTGTGTATTGTGGAAGGGTCCAATTTCATTCTTTTGTGTGTGGTTATCCAGTTTTCCCCAACACCATTTCTGGAGGAGACTATCATTTCCCCATTGTGTATTCTTGGCACCCTTGTCAAAGATTAGTTGACCATATAAGCATCGGTTTATTTCTGGGTTCTCTTTTTCATTCCATTGGTATTTATGTCTGTTTTTATGCCAGTATCATACTGTTTATCCCCCAGCTTTATTGAGATATAATTGTTACAGATAAGTGCACATAATTAATATATACAATTTGGTGATTGTGGACATATGTATGTACTTATATTACTATCAACAGAATCCAGATAATAAACATACCCATCACTTCCAAAAGTTTCCTTGTGTCTCTTTGTAATTGTTGCTACTGTTGTTTTGTGGTAAGAACACTGAAAATGAGATTGATTCTTTTAACAAATTATTGAGTATACAATACCTTATTGTTTACAGGCAATATGTTGTACAGAACTCTGGAACTTGCTCATCTTGTATACCTATAACTTTACACTCACTGAACATCAACTCCCCATACCTCCCCTCCCTCATCCCCTAGTAACCATAATTCTGTTGTCTACTTCTGTACCTTTGACTGTTTTAGATTCCTCATACAAGAGGAATCATGTAATATTTGTCTTTCTGTGACTAACTTATTTCCCTTAGCAAAATATCTTCCAAGTTCACCCATGTTGTTGCAAATGGCAGGATTTCTTCTTTTTTTAAATGCTGAATAATATTCCATTGTATGTATACATCACATTTTCTCTGTTCATTCCTCTGTCAATGGACATTTGGGTTGTTTCCATGTCTTGGTAAATGTGAAAAATGCTGCAAATGAGAGTGCAGATATCTATCTGAGATTCTGATTTCAATTTTGGGGAGTATATACCCAAAAGTGGGATTGGTGGATCATATGGTAGTTATACTTTAAAATTTTGAGGAACCTCCATACTGTTTTTTATAGCAGCTTCTCTAGTTTATATTCCCACCAACAGTGTACAGGGTTCCCTTTTCTCCACACCTTTGCCAACACTTGTTATCTTTTGGGTTTTTATTTTTATTTATTTTTTAATTTTTTTAAAAGATGACTGGTAAGGGGATCTTAATCCTTGACTTGGTGTTATCAGCACCACATTCTCCCAAGCGAGTCATGGGCTGGCCCATCTTTTGGGTTTTTAAAAAAATAATAACCATCCTAACATGTGTAGGATGATATGTCATTGTGGTTTTCATTCGTACTTCCTTGATGATTAGCAACGTTGAGCAACTCTTCACATACATGTTGGCTATTTGTATGTCTTCTTTGGAGAAATGTCTGTTAAAGCCCTTTACCCATTTTTCAATTTGATTCTTTGTTTTCTTTGCTATTGAGTTTTAGGAGTTGCTTATATATTAGCCCCTTGTCAGATACATGGTTTGCAAATATTTTCTCCCATTCTATCAGTTGCCTTTTCACATTGTTGATTGTTTCCTTTGTTGTGCAGAAGCTTTTTAGTTTATTGCCATCCTATTTGCTTGTTTTCACTTTTATTGCCTTTGCTTTTGGTGTTATACCCAAAATATCATTGCCAAGTTTAGTGTCAAGAAATTTTTTCACTATGATTTCTATTAGTAGTTTTACAATTTCAGGTCTTTTAAGCCTTTATTTATTTTGAATTGATTTTTGTATATGGTGCGAGAAAAAGGTCCAAATTCATTCCTCTGCATTCAGATACCCATTTCCCAACACTATTTACTGAAGAGATTCTTTTTTCCCCACTGTGTATTATTCACACCCTGTTGAAAATCAGTTGAGTATATATGTGTGAGTTTATTTCAAGGCCTCTATTATGTTTTGTTTGCCCAAATGTGTCTGTTTTTTTTTTTTTTTTTTTTTTTTTTTTTTTTTTTTTT